GGAGAGGAGAGGAGAGGAGAGGAGAGGAGGTTCTCAGATGAGAACCCTGCAGCCTCTGAGACCAGTGACAATATTCACAAATGGTCACACAAATGCTCAGCATATCCACAGATATAACCCAGCCCCAGAGGCTTTTCTCCCACATTATAAAGTCTTCTTTCTAAGGCTGGCTCGTCTTATTTATTTCTGTTCTTTTTTAGTCATTCTGTGTAACTGAGCCATTGATGACAAAAATGCTACATCATAACAAACACAGAGATACTTTTAAGACTTCAAAGAACACATCTTTTTCCTGACAGCCTTTCAGTATAGCCATTTTGGTATAGTAACAATCTTTATAATGAAAATTGAATTGACAGTGATAATAAAAGAGTAAAGTTCTTTAAACAGGCCATTTTCCAAGGTATTGTCAGGTAATTTATGTATAGTTTTAGGCTAAATCTCAAATAGCCATCCACAAATCAATATCAAAATTATGTTTATTAAGTGCTGCATCAAAAGCAAATCTGAATTTGTGAACTTAAAAGAACATGAATGAGAGAAAAAACAGTATCAGAAATGAAATTCAATTCCGTTAACAGAGTTTTTCACTTCAGTTTCAATTTACGCTGTGTTAACCTAATGAAGAGCACAGAAGGGAGATCATCGCATCTCGAGTGTTTATGTTTATGCACCTGCAGCTTAGAAAAGTTATTAATACAACAGGGATTCTCCTGTTACGCTTTTTACTTTCATCATTCATGCATTTGCAAATACAGACCTTTCAAAACTCCAACAGCAGTGACAGTACTTCCAGCTGCACAGGATCTACTGGTTTTCTGAAGGCCATCAGGACAGAAAAAAAAAGTCAGCCAAAGGTTCTTTTTTAACAGCCACACAAGCCTTAGGGCCCAGCTCTGTGTGCTCCTAAACTCTGACACAGAGCTCACAGAGTCAAATCCTGAAGTGTGGTATCAATGAAAAATAAGCAGAGGCTCCAGAGCAGAGAAGAGCAACTTGAAAGGCCCCCCACAAATCACCAATTTCTGGAGGTACATGGACTCCATCAGCTGCACATCGCAGAGTTTGTGAGCATGCAGCACTCAGATGAAGCCACTGCTTGGTCTGCTCGGACAATTTCCTGCTGATGACATGGGGAAAAGGTATCAGGGTCCAAGAACCTCTCTTTCCTCTTTGGCTTTTGGAGTCATTTCTGCACTCTCTGCTCGTGATCTTTGATCTCCAGCATCAGAACTGCACTGGGAGAAGCAGAAAGCACCCATATTTTTTCTCACTTTTCTCCTTTTACTGGTGAAGGAGCAGATGGCACAATGGCAACATATTCTCCTGTGACCTGGGAGATGGAAGTTTACTTCTTTACTGAATTACCCCCAGACATCCCAGTCCCAGCTGGGACACCCTCCAATATTTTAAACCAATATCACCTGTGCTGTTCACTCACAGTGAGGCTATCAAGATCTGTCTCAAGCTGATGGAAGCATTTTCTGAGTAAAGTCTATGAATTCTGGAAAGCACTTAAGAATTCTGACTGTATCTTATCCTCTTGCCAGCTCCTTTGATTGCATGATGCTTCTGAGACTCTCTTCAGACACTGTACAACCTGCAGCACAGGGTTCTGTTTGAGGAGGCACCTTTTCCTTCCATTGAATTTGCCTCTAGCCTGACCCCTCTATTCACTGCCCTGGTAACACAGAATTCAGTCCAAGAACAAGGACAGCATCATTTCTTCCCTTTTTCTTTCCTCTTTTACTCATTCCTAACTGAAATACAAAGAGTCATGGCTGCCTACTATATGCAGGATCTGCCTGGTTTTAAAACAGCAAAATACAGGCCTGGTGCTCTTTAACAAAGGAATAGTGTTCAGTGAAAGACACCATGACATAGGATGCACATAGTGTCATGGCATGCCCATCTATCAGATTTACTTCAGACTGGTTCAAAGTTTGATGTCAAAAGAGGGTGGCTAAAGTGGATTCCATATTAAATAGTATCAGGCTTTCAGCATTACTTGAACACAGGATTTTCAAAGTGTCGGTTTATAAATCTCTACTTTGTAAACTGAGTGCTTTTCAACTAGAGCTCTAGAACCCTAGAGAGCTGTCTTTAGGAGGCTCTGATCTTTCTAGAGCACCTATCTTGTGTGTCTGTAATTGCCCTAGTTTAACAAGGCTCCATAATATTTCAAGAAAGAAAAAAATCCTTTTATTACGTCTGTTAACCTAAGTGACCATAGTGATGGAATGTGTTGCTGTGGGTACCCTGTAAATCCCCTGAAAGTAAAACCCAAAAGAAGAATCTCCATGATGAAATCAAATGAAATATTTATTAAACATGTTGCCAATGTCCCAGGTGGTATGAAGAAGCTTTGTGGTATGTTGAAAGGCTTGATCTTTCTAAGTATTATGAATGCTGATTTAAATGATTGGGTGAAAGCTGAGGAAGTTATGGCTGAAATTTTGGCTAAAGATGACAGGTCCGGGTTTCAAGTTGCACAAAGCGGTCTGAGGGATTAAGCCAACAAAACCCACTCAAAGATATCCAGTTTCAAAAGGGTAATCTTCGTATCAGTGATTCACACTCAGACAATGGTGAGGATTCCTCATTACTCTGACTTTGCCATATTAATCTTACTTTACAAATACATGCAGTGATTTATATCATGTTTAATTAACTGATTGAGGGCTCCTGTGGTAAAATGGCATCACATTAAGCTCTGTCCTTATGGCAAATGTGAATCACATCTTTAGCCTTGCAAGAACAAAATATCATGGGATTCACTGATGACAGGATGTAGGAATCGAAATAAGGTCCCTCCTGTTGTTTCAGAATCCAGTAAGGGTGGTTGCCATATGCTCATCATTTCCAAGGGAAAAAAATGACAGGATAGAAGAAAGAACTGCTCTAGTTCATCCAATATGTTCAAATCTCAGATGAAAATGATTGTACAGCAGTTCTGTACTGAGGCCAAGTTTTACATGAAAGTGCATAACAAACTTTCAGAAAGCTTATAATTAGAGATCTTTCTAATATGATTTTTTTCTGTATTTAAATAAACTGCTGCATGAAATGACTCCTTTTTTGGAGAAAAAAAAAACACAGAAAAAAGAGATGAACTAAATAAAGAAAGGCTTCTTTGCCAGCAACATAAGACAACACAAAATTAACTTAGCTTTTGCCATGAAGAGTTATTCCCCTCAAGCATTCACAACCTGTTTTTGAAGATAAAAACTACAACTGTTATCGTCTGATAAAATTAGATGTTGTATATAATTTGCTACTAACATTACCAAGATTAAAAGCCTTGTTTATGTTATTACAAAGTTTCTTAAAATCCAGAAAGCATTTTATTTTTAAAAGCTGTCTTATTAAGAGACTGCAATTTTTATACTTACAATGAACCTTACATCCAGTTAACTCCCTAGCCATTGACAAATCATTTTACATGAGTCACAGTTTGCTCCCAGGAATTCAGTGGATTTTTGCAATTTGTTTCTATGGCATAGAAGATAGCAGTGGGATGGGAGAAGCAGGTTTCGCGTTTTACAAAGCTATTATGTGACTTCAGAAATGTTCTCATTCCTCTCCAGGACCAAGACTTTTTAAATTTTTTACACAAGAATGAGAGATGAGCAGAGTATTTAAAAGGTGGGTAAGTAAAGCACTCAGTGCTGCCTGTTTTGCCACTCTCTCCCATTTTCCACAAATTGCCTCAGGTCCTAGTCTAGTCCAACACATCAGGGACACATCAGGCCTCAACACCTCCTGCTAGCTAGCAGGATTCCACTTTACATAAACAGTTAAATGCACAGCAAGCAAACAACTCAAAAGCCTCGTTCAGTGCACTCTGTAAATCTTCAGGGCACTCTGTAAATCTCATGTTCAAGTCCCCAGGCCTGAACCTCGATTTTCCACATTCCAGGTGAGTGCTCTGACCGATCACGGTGCTACCTGATACTCCAACTTTGCCATCTCCTTCTGGTCTCGACCAGAAATTCCATCCGATGGCTGACAAATCTCTTCTGATGAGTTTCTTTGAAATCGATACCTGCCTGCAAAAGAAAAAGTTTCAGTTTCCTCAAGCCAGCCTTTTCAATCAAAGAAAGAGAAAATTCCCAACCCGTTCTAACCATTTCACTGACGGCTAAAATTGAGCCACTTGTATAGCTGGGCAATCCTCAGCTGGGCTGGTGAGTTTGGCAATGCAGCAAAAATCAAGGGGTGACATTTTTGCCCACAAACACCTGGGCAAACCATCTTTCCTTCCAAATGTGCTGAAGTAACAAATCTGCTGACTCTGTAATATCGTGGTCCTGTGCCCCCTCTTTGTCCTTTATCAGAAGTCACTATGCTTCACTGCTGCTAGAAACATTAACATGGTTTTGTGATTAGAACAGTTATGTACACCTTACAGTCAGTCACGTCATCCTGCCCTTGTTCAGGTCTCAAAACTGAGTAGAAACAGGGTAATTATTTTCCCTTTTTGATATAGATAAATTCCAAATCTCATCATATATCTTCTCAAAATTTCACCATAAAGTAACCTTCTCCCTTCTCTCTGAGCCCATTACAACATTTGATATTTTTAAAAGCTTTGAAATTGTTTTCCAAATGTGAAGCACTGACAGGATATCAAAACCAGCTTGGTTTGTACTTACTTAGTAGGAAAACTGCTATCACAATAACTGCAAACAAATGTGTAGTATTTCATATCTTCTGTTAATAATTTTCAAACTTGCAGGGATTTTAACACCTGTGCCATTAGTCCACGATAATTTGCGATAATTTCTGAAGTTCTGAAATGTATTTTTAAATTTAAAACATAATTTCAAAAGTATTTTTAAATAAAGGAATTCAACATAATCCATAATGATTTCTTGCCAGAAAAAAAGAATGTCTAAATATTCTAATAATTCTGATCCAATGCTAGGAGAAATTAAAATCTGATTGCACATAGAAGAGCATTTGGATGCTGAACAAACTGATTTTAAGACACAGATACATGTGGTTTCATATTCTGAGATTATTTTCACATTCTATGGAAAATTAGCTACCTGTAAAACATACTTTTCATTTTACTGTTTTAACAGGCCTTTTAAAATTTTAGCAATATTTAAGATATGAATATTGATAGAGACAGAGATATATGCAAGATAAAATATCCTGAGCAAGGATGATTAACTATTTTTGGCTAATTTTTGCCTAAAATTTACCATTAACTATTTTGGTGGCTAAACTGCATTTCCCTTCAAAAATATTTGAATTTTTTAATATTTAGAGTAGAGCTTTAAGCTATGTAAAAGTACCTTGAAATATGTGCAGGTCAAAGTAAATCTTCATTTTAAATATTTCAAACTGTTATAGTTACTGCTTTGAAATAATATGACATTTACAGTAATTGCTGGAATTCCAATTACTTTCAGTAAAAGCTGCTTCTTTTGCAAGCTGTAAAAATATAAAGGTGCATTGGATACTGCATTGCTGGAGACAGAGTCTGCAAGTAAAGGCAATTAAATGTGAGTTTGATGATACACAACGTACTGGACTAACATTAAAAAGACTTTTCCATGTTTGACTGTTTACCAGTTTTGTCTTTAAATAATAGTCTTCTTTTGGCATGTAATGTATATCTGCTTGCACTAAACATAATTTATTAATATTTTAACACATGTGTACTCAGTGGGGTGTATTATCATACTGATATAAATAGAATTAATGAGCAGTCAACCTGCCACATGTCATGACATATGACAGGGCAGCCAGAGCATGGGAATAATTCTTTCTGTTTCATATTAGAGCTTCTTTTCCCAGTTGAATTTTTGTTCCCAGATGCCAATGGACCTAATTTTCTAAGGACCATTTACAAAAATAGTAAGAAATCACAAACCTGGACTAATTTATCATGGGTAATTTCAAAGAATGATTATTTTTATGCCATTTCAAATGCTTAAATAAACAGGTTAAAGGAAGCAGCTTTTTTTTCAGTTAATTTTTAGGGTTTTCACAATGAGAGATTAGATATCTGCCTCAACTTTCCTTCTTAACAAGCAAACATTTTATTTGTTGTTGACTTTGAATTTGTTTCAGTGTCATGCTATAAGTTTCATCTGTTAAGGGTCTAGAATAGAATGACTGCCTAAACACAAAGATGACATGTACCAGGTAAACAGAATTACTTTGCAGAAAGAGATACAGATGCAGGTAGGTAATATAATTTTAAGCAATTATTCATTCTAATTTCAAAGGCTAGGTAACAATCTGATGAACATAACTACTAACTTTTTTTTGATAAAGATATAGAATAAGTTGGCAGAACACACAGAATACAAGGCTAGGCCAGATTCCCTGTTTGACACTTTATTTGAAAGAAATACTGAAGTGTAATATCAATTCTGTTTACAAACAGCTACTCAGTCAGTTAAAGGCTAAGGTTCATAACAAAATCAAGAAATTAATATCAGTCAGACTGACCAGCTAGCATCTAATTAAAGATTGCTGACTTGAAAAGTTTTCAGCAAAGAATGCAAATGTTCTTTGATATTGCAGTGCTGAGCTACTGACAACAGGGAGGAAGGTACATACGTCGTTCCTTCTTTTTGATTTAAAATCACTTTTTAAAAAATTATTTTACTGCCCATGAATCTTTGAAGTCATGACTCATTTTCCAAGAGGAACAAGAGGGTCTCCTAAAGATGGATCTAGTTCAGGTTTGAAGACTTGAAAGACATAAAAGAGACTTATATTGGAACAAAGAGTTGGAATAATTATATTAAAGAACAAGGAGACACTCCAAGATTTTGTGTCCGATGTTTTTCCTGGCAGGGCAGCATGTCCCTTGGGAATCCAGCTCTGTCACTCTCAAAGAAAAGGGGCACCATCTAGTGCTTTTTTGGAGGAAAAGCTGCTAATACCAGCAGGGATGTGGCAGGGGAGGAAAGAACATGCGAGGGGGAGGGAGAAGAAATGACACTCCATTTTTTTCAAAAGACAAAGAAAACCTGTTGGCCTGTTTCATCTTCCATTTTGAGGCACTGCAGTATTTAGCTTCGGGCTGCAAGTAAAAATTGTCAGCTTTCACAAGGTGGAAGGATGGATTCCTAACAGTTAAAATAATATATACAATTTAAAATGGAGAGGGGGTTGGTATACAGATATTTTCCTGAGTAATAGGTATTTCTTCTGCCTATTACTATATCAAAACATTTCTCTATCACTCCTTTTCATTATATATTCTCTCTTTTATTAATCTAAAGAAAAACCTTTTTAAGTATCATTAATGTCCTTGAAGACTACACTGTGCTGTAAAGTTCTTGAAATATTCTTACAAATCATCTTTCCAGAGTTCACCCATAGAGATTTTATGAAAATTATTTGTAGCACAAAATTGTTTGCAGTGCAATAAGATCAAGTTAACCACTGACACTGCTAGAAAAAAGTTTGAGAAGTTTTATCTGATTGACAAAATATGTTCATATCTGAGTCCAGGGAAAGAGTGCCCTTTGATAAAATTTCACAGCACTAAAGTCTCTATCTGAATGATTTTTGAAACCTCTTTGAAAACAACTTAGGGGGAAGGATGAGGAAATATTCTTTTCTGCTGTAGCTTAGGGAATAGATGACTTTGGAAGAATTGTGAAATAGTAGCTCAATATTGTTTAATTTACTGCGACTATGAATTGACAGAAATTGTATTAGTCAAACTAATAAGTTCTCAGTGAAAATAACCAATGTTTCAAAGGTACATCTGCTCCTTGGGAGCCCGAGGCTGGAAATATTTGTTGTGAACAACAGGAGCTGCTGCCTTCAGACACCCAAAACAATCCCAGCTTTACACAGAGTCAGAGATCAGGACATGCTGAAAAATTGAATGTGCTGATACTCCAACCAGAGGCCCCAAAAAATCACAGTTAAAATCAGTGCTTGTTTTTAACTTCTGGGCATAATCTTGGATTCCCTGGGTGTTTCAATCTCTTACTCAAATGTATTTTAGCAACAAGGGAATGTCAGACCAGTGCATAAGACTAAATAAACAAGAAATATTTCTAATAGAATAGTGCTGAGCAAAGCAAATATGTGACTTGGTGAGTAATTCTCAGAGGGAAGCCTATCCCAATAAACAAAAATATATTTTATGTTGTTATAATTGTTTTCTTGTGAAGTTGATCATGCTTATTGAGAAGATTTCTCACACAGAAAAAAAAAAATGCAGGCATAGAATGAAGAGAATTGACTAAGAGCAGGTAAGTGGGGAGCAAATATCAGTAAAAAACGTCAGATTCCCAAATCCTAAATGGGGCTAGGAACCACATGCAGGTCATGACAATCACGAAGGAGTGCTCTGGTCTAGTGGTCTGACTACAGGCTGGGGAACCATACTTGGGAGATTCTTGCTCTGCAGAAGATTCAGCACATCCATTCAGGGCCTGCTGTTTGGATATTCTGAGCACCCTTGTTTTCTGGTGAAATCAGGAGCTTGGAGCTTCTGCTGTTTGGATCGTGGACTCAAGTTGCTTCATTTTAGGCACCTATATTTTCAAATGGCACTATTTAACCTCTCTGCCTCAGTTTCCACATCTGTAAAACTTGATAGCTATGCTTACCTTGCATGGGTGTCAGGAAGATTATTTCAGGTCTCTAGAGAAGTTTGAAAAGGAAAAGCAAACCAAACTGAATTTATTATTATTTGTCATTTTTTTATCCCATAAAATGGAAGTCAGATGCAGCCCAGACTGTGAACTATAACAAAATGTTCAACTAAGTCTTCCTTATGTCTCTAATGACAAAAGAACTGGTGAATTCAGCATGGCTTTGCAGGAAGAAAGCAGCTTCCCCACCTACTAACCTGGCAACACTCGGGGTAAGTAATAAGTTTATGTCTTAAATAACCCCAATATTTGCTTAATTGTTATTATTCTATATGTTTCCTTTATATTTTTAATTCAACTATCAGTGCAGTTCACTGTATTTCTGATGATTTAAAAAAAACCTCTCAAGCAGAAGAACTTAAGCAGAGGGAACTTACTTTAGTGGCAAGAAAAAAGTTGCCAATAAT